GTATTAATTTATTATTAATTATTTTATGCTGTATAATTGTTTCTGTTACTGAAACTGTGTTTTGATTTATTTCTTTAGATTATTTAAACGGATTATATTGTAAATATATAAATATTAAGATCTTCATCAGAGTTCCTTGAAAAAACAAAAAAATCCTGTTACAATGAAGAACATTTTTCTTGTGGCTGAATTTTATTTGAAATACGTATCAGAATTGTATTCAGTAAACGTTGCTGCTTTTAATTGACATACATCTGTGATAATAAATGAGCCGCGTCACAATAAAACCAACATAATGCGTTTGCGACCAGCATGGATCCAGACCAGCCTGCGCATCCTCGCAGTCTGATCAGGATCCATGCTGTTGGCTATCAGTTTCTCTACTTGTAATAGAGTTGGTAAGTGAACAGCATGGATCCTGATCAGACTGCGCGGATGGGTAGGCTGGTCTGGATCCATGCTGGTCGCAAACGCACTATGTTGGTTTTGTCGTGACACAGCTCAAATATCAACCTTTGTCATATCATATTGTTGGCAATGTAGGCACTGACTACTGACATGTAAGTGAATTGGTCCTACATAATAAATGCTATACTGTATAAGTGGATATTTGTGCATGTCGAAAAATTAGCAAATTTAAAATGTTAGACATTTTGTGTAAGAAAATATTAGCAAATTGTGGAAGTGTAGAATTTAATGACAGGTTGATTGATATTTATGCTATAGGAAATTTAACGATTTGCGAAATTTGCCAATCTTTCCACATCACTACGTAACCATTTATACAGTATTGTACAGAAATCAGTACAGTCCAGGAAAATTAAAGATGTTATGCATGTCAGTTGTTGAAAGAGGTTGGTACAGTTGATAAAGATGAAATACATGTAGGTTTGTTACAAGAATTATTTGTTACAAATGAACAAAATGCTTGTAAATGTGGTATATTGTGGCTAATGTGATCATCCAAGTTTATATTTATAGTTCTATTTCAAATGAGCCTGAAATAGTGGACAGAAGAGCACCTGAGGTATATGATCTCTACTGTGTTGGTGCAACCTAAAACCCAACAAAAAATATTAAAATAGACAGTCCAAGTGGCATATTTCAAGTAGTTGAAGAACTGATCATCATAAATGCCTTGATATGCCATGGTAACAAAGGCCACATGTTATCATAATACTATAACATAGTCAATTTTAACTTAAACAATGATGGGGTTGAGGTCATTGACTTCAAACCGGTGTAGGTTTGAGCCACGCCAGTGTCATCCGATTCTCCGTGACAGAAAGCTATCCAGCTACAGAACGTCAGTGGTATCTACTTGAGTATCTGTGCCTGAATTAATGTGCAGAGGGGAACCAGAGGTCCTCCTCAACCTGTAAAGCTTAAAAGTTGCCATGTGACCTATACTGTGTTGATGTTTAACAAACAAACAAAAACATGTAAGGGCTATGTTAAGTGACATAATAAGATAATGCTATTTTTAAAATTCTATGTTTGGCATGCCGGTACTATTTATATTCAAATGTTTTGTGCTAAATGTACAAAAGTTATTTTCTGTGTTATTCTAGGATTATTTAAATCTTAAGAAAGCAAATGTCATGTTTGAACTTAGAATGTTAGATAAAGGTGTGTTGTGAATTTGTTAAAGAAAATGTAGATTTATTTCTTCTTAGAAAAGTGAGAAGTTTTGATAAATGTTAGCTGTTTTGATTTGGACACACCAGATCAGTTGTTTGAAGCTCTGGTAGAGATTTTGGTAACAAGAACTATTGGGTTGCATTATTTGTTTAATTGGTTTATATGTGTGTTAAGTTTGTACTTTGTAGGTAGATAAGGTGTATCATTTAGCAGGCAATTATTATTGTTAACTGTTTGTCTGATGGCAACAACTAAATCATGCGAGCAGCAAGTGAATCTCCCAATGCAACTAGTCCAGACCAAGATCAGCAAGCACATCCATGCCATCTAATCATCGTCTGCACTGTTTCCTAATCAGTGAAAATTTACTTTCAAATTTTCCCAACTAATGAATGGTTTTGTCCAGATTGAATGTGCTGTGTTATCATGATTCCCCCGGTTTGCTATTCAGTCAGCATTTATTTTGAAATTTTCCCTGAAAATGATGAATGGTTTTGTCCAGATTGAAAGATTGATATTTAGCTAGGTAAGGGATAAAATGAGAAAATCGAGTCACAGAACAGTAAATTGCCTGTCGTGCTGAACAGATGTTCAAGTTGGCCAAGCTCTTTAGTAGTGGCACAAGTTTGTTATTTATCATAACTAGCAGTCAAATGATAAAAAGAATTTTTTATTTAACCCTGACTCGCTAAATATCTTAAACAGACTTGTCCATCTTTCTATTTAGACACAACTATTCATCATTTTTAGGGAACATTTCTGAATAAATGCTGACTAAATAGCAAACAGTGGAGATCATGATAAGACATCATGGTCGTAATGGCTGCTCTTGGTCAGCACTGGTTGTATGAGGAGAACCAATTGCTGCCAGATTTCTAGCGGTCAATTAATGTAGGCAATTTGTATAAAAATTGAAAATTGTTGTTTTGCAGAAGTAGAAACCTTTAAAATTGTATTGTAAAACTCTATTTACCTCGCTTTACAGCAGTTATCCTCGGTCCCAAATAACCATACTACTTTACAGCAAAACCTTGAATTCTAATTACCCTTTAATTCAAGATATTTAATTCAAGATATTGGATAAAATTAGAGAAAAAAATGGAAAGTCGACGTTTTATAGGACATGTACATCTACTGGTTGCGACTTGTTGAAATATTTCTCATCTTGTACAATGTTTCCCTAATTTAACTGACATTATGAAAAAATGAAGAACTAAATATTGTCATGTCTAGATAGTGCTCTGTTATAACCAGTACATCTGTATCAGTTATTTGTTAGAACTTAAACATATATCATAACTATACACACAGTTTTCAGAATTTCATTTTTCTGTGTTGCTTTTTATCCCCGGATGTTGTTGTAGGCAAAAGAATGATTACTCCCTAATTAATTGGCTGTGTCTTATAATGGACAAAGGTGCAATTGCTGAACTTGATGTCTGTAACCTGTAATATATCATATGTAGGTGAAACAAAATAAAAACTATAGAAATAAAGAATAGATTTCAACCTGCTGAATTTGTAAGATAGACTTTCCCTTGCAGTTTTGCAATATTAAAAACATATTACTGTCGGAACAGAATCTTGTCTGACTATATAATGGTAGATGATACGTTTGGCATGGTAGATAATGGTGCCTCAGGAATTTTTATGAGTGATGTATACATGTGCATGTATAAAATTATGCTCTTTATAAAGATCTGTATATTGATTTGTCCATGATATATATTTTTTCTTAGTCAAAACAGAGATTTAGTTAACAGAGATAAGCAGCTCCTTTATACTCCATTGAAATATCCCACATCTCTTTTCAAAATTTGTCTTTAGGGTAAAAAATCAATGTTATATGCATTTTATTGACCAGGATCAGGATGCTTCCCATGTCAAGTGATCAGGGATGTTGACTAAGTATCACTAGGCTATATATCTGTGTAGTGACTTTGTATTGGTTCAAATGGTGAAGTTTTTCACATAGAGCTAGGAAGGTCTGTGGTCCTACTTAATAAAGCATTAAGGGGTAGCAAAGGTCTTTCTTCACCAGGAAAGCTTGAAATTTCACCATTGGACCTTTACATGGGCAGCATGGCCTAGTATGATCACCAAAAAATTAATACAGTCAGTTGTGTTTTAAGATATATTGATATGACTACAGTTAAACAGATATGATAAAGTCAGACCTCGTTATATCTATCTTTTGTTTTTCTTGCTTGTATAAATTGTTAAATATTATTACCCTGTTTTAACATTGATGCTTTTTTAAGGAATTTACAAATATTAAAGTTAACTGGAGCTAATGTTGATAACTATTGTTGCTTGCCTATTATAGATTTGTATTATTTGATTAGTTTAAATTCTGTTACAGGTATAAAATGCTATAGACAGAGTGATATTATCATTTGTTTTTTTCTAAAATGTGTTAATTTCTGGTATGATTTATCATGCCACATTGTATTATTTGTCTTCTATCATATGCATCCTTGAAATAAGTTTCTCAAAAAGTCTGTCGTAATTGTTGTTAATTATGGTATGTTTGGTCCGTTGCACCGGGGGGGGGGGGGGGTAAGTTAAGCACACCACAGGGGACATGAATGTTTAGTTTTTTAACCTTTTATTGACCATGACATTGGTGATTAATATGGCGGTTTCACTATGCAAATCTTCAGGCCATTGTATTATAGTGTTAGTTATTTTGTCCAAGTTACTTTAAAATCTTCCTAAATTTAAAAGAAGTATGAACCAGAACATTTGACCTCTGTTTGACATTGACCTCCGTTTGACATTGACCTTGGGGAAGTAACATGGATATTGCACTTCACACTGTGCACATTGTGTCATACTACAAGGTGATCATTTGTGCCAAGTAATTTTAAAACTTTCCAAATAGTCAATCAGTTTATGTAGCAGACATCTAACCATTTGTGTTCCTTCCCAATTTCATCAAACTACATAAGTGACAAAAAGGCAAAACTAATGCTATCAAATCAGATGAATTGGTTTCTATATCAAAGTAATGGTTTTGCTCATGCTTAATACTAGTATGTCTTTGACAAGGTTTTAGGTTTTTATTCTGGCTTCCATTTACATTATGTCAGAACATTGATGTAACTACCGTATCTGTGAAAATATATCTGATAAAAATTCAATTCTAACCACTGTCTCATATTTCTGGCAATTTTCACCTCTGCAGTTTTGATCTATTCTTTCAATGAAGTTCATAGGAACTTATTCACACTCCTATGTAAAAGTGGTGTAACCTTATCAAGAAAATTGACTGATATTCTGATTATTTGATACATGCTTGATCAGAAAGGAAATGGTGTGAAACGTGTTAGAAATTGATAAGTGTTTCTTTTTTTTTCTCAGAAATGACGCATTTCCCTGTTAAATCTCATTGGGTCTATTATTTAAACCGAACGTGATCTCAATAGCAACATTTTCTCTTTCATTTCTGCTATGAAAACAAGTCGATATGTCTGCTTCGGTTATTTTCTTTTTTATTTTAGCGGGTGTTACATTTGACTGTGTAACAGGTCGGGTAAGATCTGCGCGTAGAAATATTCAAGGAATTTCGATGAGGGAACTTTCAATTAGTTCTTCTGCTTCCTTCAGATATGCCCATGTACTCGTGCGGAGCCTCGTTGAAAATACCGACACATCGGACCACGAGCTTATGTTTCGAGTGAGAATTCCTTACGAAGCATTCATCACGAATTTTTCGATAATCACTAACGATAACACGTATAACGCTATCATCAAAGACAAGAATGCAGCTTACGAAGAATACCAGAAAGCGAAGGAAGATGGAATCAGTGCAGGTACCATTACTCAACAGACGAGTGTTGCAGACGACAGAGATAGGGATATCTTCAGGGTCAAGGTAAACGTTGCTGCGCAGACGACACTTGAATTTCGGCTTCATTATGAGGAAATGCTCTTGAAGAATGCTGGAAAATATTCTCAGAAGATTTACATTGATGTAAATTCTTTTATAGTACCACAGCTAGAAGTTATATGTGAATTAAAAGAAAAACAAAGGTTTAAGGAAGTCACATATCAAACCCCTTTGAGTGTCGAAAGTATATATTCGGATGATGAAAAAGTTACCGAAGATGGATATTATATCAGGAAATTTGAATGGAAAGTTAGTGAGGCAGATCAAATAGCGGCCAACGATGGTTTTATGAAACCTTTCGAAATAGAATACGAACTAGAGCCTTCGGAAAATGGGGGAATGGTATACATTAATGACAATGGTGAATTTGTCCATATGTTTTCAACGCCGTGCGAAGAAGCCAATGTGATGATGAAACAAATTGTTTTCGTTATTGACATCAGCGGTTCAATGGCTGGCAATCCAATAAAGCAGGTTAGGCAAACAATGTATGAAATATTCAAGCTTCTCCGTTCAAATGATTTTTTTAACATTATCATATTCAATAAAGATGCACTCCTCTGGAATCAGCAATTTCAAAAAGCCACTGTTTTGAATATTGAAAGTGCTACATTATTCGTTGAGAAAAAAGTGGTGGCGGAAGGGTCTACTAATATTAACGATGCCCTTTTAAAAGCTGTCGCATTGTTTGGTCAAGAACAAGATGGAGATGACCGAGTCGGACAAATAGTTGTTTTCTTAACTGACGGAGAACCAACAGTCGGAGTACAGAACCCAGATCGAATCAGGAGAAATGTTCGCGACAAGAACTATTATGGAGGAAAAGAGTGTTGTAAGTCGAGTATTTTCACTATCGCCTTTGGTTCGGGTGCTGCAACAGACTTTTTAGATGCTCTTGCCAACGAAAATGAAGGTTTCTTGAAAGTAATAAGAGACAAAAATGACGGTGAAGACATTCTTGAACTATATCACGGTGTAGAAAACCCTTACTTAAAAGACATCATTTTTAGTTTCAAAGCGGGTGACGAAGATGTACCGGAAGAAAACACAACTCGTACAGAATACCGACAATACGACTGTGGAAATGAGATAGTTGTTGCGGGTGTGACCTTTCCTGGTGCGGAGCTTCGTCCAGTAATTCAGGCATCCAATAACAATGGCACAGTAAGTTATGAGGATATGCAGATAATACGAACTGCCGCTGTGGATGAAAATCGCCTGTCGCGTCTTTTTGCTTATCAAAGAGTCAAACATCTTCTCAAGCAAGCCGAAATAATTGTAGATGGTAACAAGCTTAGCTCAGAATTAATGAAGGAAAAGGCTCTAAATATATCGTTGCATTATGGATTTGTAACACCACTGACATCTCTAATAGTAACGGAATATTCGCCTAAAAAGATGGCATCACCACCAGCAAACCGTATGGGAGCACTTGCTAAATCACAGTCCGGTTCGTCGAAATCCGTGCAGTATGATTTATCAAACTTTTTTTACGATGATACGGACTTTGATCAGCAGGATATAAGAAATAAAACAAATTCCGCTAACAACTTTGCTGTCAACAACAGCATGTGCTTTGTCCTCTTTATGGTCATATTGAGTCTTTATTAAAGTCCATTCTAGCTATTGCTCATTTTTATTTTTACACAATTAGAATAACTGATCAAACAAAAAAGGAAATATAAAAAAAAAAAGAGAAGAAACAAATAAAAGAGGACAATGATATAAATTTTCATGTAAAGGACAAGTAACAACACTTAGTCATAGAGTTGTGGATTCTTAGGACACGTAAAATCCTGAGGTCGTGGAAGCTACATCACTCCCCCCCCCCCCCCCCCCCGCCCCCAACCAAAAAAAGGTGCTTTCAAACCAAGTGAAGTTAAATGAATCAAATAAGCAACATACAAAAATGTACAAACCTAAATGAGTTTAACTAGTTTTTAACAAGTTATTTTTTAAGTTTTTTTGTGTAAATACAAACTATAATGATGTAAATAAACTTGAAACACTTAAAATAATGCAAAATGCAAATGAACTATTAACAACAAAAAATGGTAACCCTCATGAAGGAGTATGGAAGAATAATAACAAGAAGGGAAAACGATCACAAAAACGGCCAAAGAAGTTTAGCTTAGCATCATTGATGTTGTTTTGTTCCGACCTGAAATACTACATGAACTACATGAATAGATCCGATTAACATAAAAGTGGATAGGTCTGCAATGGGCCCATTTTCCACAAGTATTTTAAATATTGATAGATTTAACACTAGAAATGTATCGGTTTTGGATATTCCTATGAAGTATTTTTTTACTTAAAAAAATAATGTTCATAAAGTTCAAAGTGATTTAGTATGAACATTTATATGATGCGATATTGTAAATACTTGTCAAATAAATAGTGAAAGTAGTAGAAGTTCTGTTGCTTTTGTTGTTTTGTTTTTTTGTTTTTTCTGACTTTTTGCTGTTTTACGTGTTTTTTTTTTTTTTTTTTTTTTTTTTTTTTTATTGTTTGTTATTTTTTTTTTTTATTTTTTTTTTTAAGTCGTTTTTTAAACAAACGTCCATGTGCCTTGCGTATCTGGTCTACGGCATGATTAAAAAGTCAGGTTTACACCAACCGGGAGTACGGAAGGCAAAACTCTACCTAAATATGTTCATATTTTTATTATGAATGACATAAATCTAACATTTTTCTTCAATTGTCAATTCTGGCACCAGTTCCAAGTACAAAAAAAAGACTACAGTTTAAAGCAGATTTTATAATCCGTTGCAAATGCGAATTAAGCAACACGCCTACCGTTCTCTTTCTACAAGTTAGTTTTTCATTGTTGATCTTTCACAGAGAGATTGTAAAAAAACTGATTGTTCCTTAAAGCAATAACACTTACTTGTATCGCAATAGTGCACGTCAAATCACGTAGATTTAGTCCTGTTGGAAAATAATATTTGTTTCGTTTTGAAGATGTTTAAAGTATTGCTCATTTTATCCTATGTATTAAAATGTGTTTTATTTTATTTCACAATGGTTAAATTGATAAGAAATATATGTGCTCCCAGTGAGAGAAAGAGTTAAAATAAAAAAAAACACTTTTGTATGCTATGGAAAGGGTTACACTTTAACGCGGGTGTTGTAAAGTTCAGTTTATTTTTGTAAAGAGTAACTGACAAACACTGACACTCGTGAATGTGACGAATAGGTTTCTTCTGTCCCCAAAAGAGAGACTTTTAAAAGGTATATATTTTTTTCTGGAATTGTTGTATAATAAATTCCTATAAAGTTGATAAACGAAATCACAATTTGAACTTGGAACTTTGCCGTGTAAATCTGATAGTATTGTAACTTAGTTGCATTACTTGTGATTTTCTATTTATAAAAAAAGACCCAAAATAGCCATGAATCAGAACAAGAATGGACGCCATGTAGAGTAAACAAAGTAGAAAATAGTAAACAGATAAATGATTTTACAAACCAACAGCCAGGGATCACAGTCAAATTTCTTGAAACAAAACATTCAAAAAAGACGGAAATAAAAATGATTATCAATAATTATATAAATATTTACATTCACATCTGTAATAGCAAACATCGGCAAGATCTATGACTGGGGTCCATATGCCACTGATGCGTCCATTGAATAATTGAATAGCTAACATATATAAAGCTTAGTAAAATTACGATACATTTGAAGAGTATATTCAATTTTTATCCTTCAAATGTCAAAAGACTTACTTCTTTATTTCATATCAGATAATCACTTATTTAGTATATGCGTCATGTTTATCATGTTTTTAGATTTTTTAATGTGTGGTGTCCTTTCTTAAAATTTAAAAGCTTACAAAATCCCTGTTGAGGGAATCTGCAGGTCATGCCGCGGCAATAATCCATGCAGTTACAGCCAATGACCACAATCGATAAAAAAATTTTTTATCGATAAAAAATCGTCCCAAATAGCCCTATCGTTTTTTTTCAGTTTGAAAGAGACATTATTGTTATAAAGTTCTACTCGATTAAATGTTTTTCAAACCAATAAATTATTCCGTTTCCCTTCTCCCTCTTTACAATTTTTTGGGTACTCTCTGATAAAGCTGATTTGACTCTATAATTAACAAAATTTTGTCAGATATGCAGTTTATCAACAAAATAAATGAATTAAAAATAGATATTTTAAATAGTGGTTTAATGATCTAATAAACGGGTTATATCCAGTTCACGAAAAGGGTTACCGGGATAAAAACGGGTTTAAAAAATATTTTTATCAACGAGGCCACTTTTAAAAAAGCTAATCTTATACAAAAAATTTCAGGTTTTTTTTAATTTTTAAAATAAAATTTTAAATTAAATTAATAAAAATTTTATAAAAATATAAATAATAAAACATATTAGGGTTATCAAAAAACTTTTTACAAAAAAAAACCCTTGTTTTAAAAATTGCCCCCTTTTTCACAGAAAAAATCAAAGGGATCCAAAATTGCAGTAAGGGAAGGCTATCAATAACCGAGCCTCAATTTTTAAATTTTTTCCTTTTCATATTTGGGGTTTTTTTTAACCATTTTTGTTTTCTACATACACAAAAAATTTTTAAAAAATCTTTACCTAAAAAAAATGAAAAGGGGCAACAATTTTTCTTTAAAAAATAAGACAAATTTCACGACTTTTAAATCATTTGTAGCGCACAGAAAAACAACTATTATTTTTTTTAATGTACATAAAAAAAATTTTTTTCTTTTAACAAAATTTATAAAAGAAACTACATTTTTTGTTTTGCACGGACAAAAATCTCTTTAAACTTTCCCTTTTTTTTTCATTTGGAACTTGGGGCCAAAATTTGCCAATTAAAAAATGAAAATTTGTCTTCAAAATAAAAATAGAACTTTTTTAAAATTTTCCCTTCCGTTTTCCCCGATTTAAACCTATTTTATAATCAGACGAAAAATAACCCAGAAAAAAAAAGCTTGAAACAAAAGCCCGCTCAATACAAAAACTTCGGGTTATCAAATGTTTGAAAAGGGCTTATAAAATAAAAAACCCAAAATTTTCTGTAAAAATTATTTTTTTTCCCAACTTGCCCCAAAAAAGGGGAAAAGGGAAATAAAATATTTAGATTTCTTTTCCCGAATCGAGCAACTTTGTTTGAAAATGTGCAAAATACGTTTAGCAGGGGTTTGCCAACGTTTTTACGATTTTATTAAATCATCTTCTCAGTGGGGGAAATACCACTACATTGACGTATTTTCGGCACTTTTCCAAAAAAATGTTGTCGATTCGGAAAAAAAATGCCGAAAATTTTTTATTTTTTTACCTTTCTTTGGGGATATCACCATCAAAGGGGGGAAAAATATAAGTTTTCCATAGAATATTGGGTTTTCTCAGTTTATAACCGCTTTATCAACACTTGCAAAAACCGGGGGAAGTTGCTTTTTTTAGGCTTCAGTTGCAAGCTTTCTTTTCTGGGGTTATTGTCTACCCATATTAAAAAGTAGGGTTTTCATCAACCGGGATCGGGGGCAAAAAACTCTACCTAAATATGTTCATATTTTTATTATGAATGACATAATTCTTACATTTTTCTTCAATTGTCAATTCTGGCACCAGTTCCAAGTCGAAAAAAAGGACTACAGTTTAAAGCAGATTTTAGAATCCTTTGCAAATGCAAAGCAACATGCCTACCGTTCTCTTTCTATAATTATGTTAACCATGAAAAGCATTTTATTTACTATACGATTTACATAAACACAAATGTAACACAAATGTATATTTAAATGATTTTTACTTGCTGCACTATAAGTGATTTTAAAAGGCGTAAAATTGTTGTCTGTATTTGTAAAGAAATTGATTTGCTATTTAATCATTGTTCTTTCACGGTAATGATTATGAAAAATTTATTTGTGTCATTTAGCAATACTAAACGTGGAATAAAAAACAGAAACCCTAAATATCGAAATTGAAAATGTTTCAGGCTCGGATTGACTTAGCTAGCCTGTCCAATGAACGTGCACATTCAGGATCACTTCGATTTGTATGCTGTAAAAATACGCCTCAACGCGGCAATTTAAAGTCAAAGTTTATTCTTTTGTAAAGAGCTATTTATACGAATAACCATATACATGTATATATATAAAGAACCTGTCCATAGCAATGTTTTAGTATGATAGATTGAGCTTTTTAATACATTGGCACTTATACAAAAGTATTTTTACATCCTGTTTTCATACCCACGGTAACCGTTTTTTCGTGAACTGGATATAACTTCGTTAACTTAAGAGCACTATTAAACACTATCTATTTTTAATTGCATTTATTTCTGTTGATAAACTGCTTATCTGACAAAATTTAGTTAATTATATCAGTCAACTCAGCTTTATCAGAGAGCTTCACCAATATACATGTACATTGTAAAGAGAGGAAGGGAACGGAATATTTATGGTTTGAAAACATTTAAATCGAGTAAACTTTTTAACAATAATGTCTCTTTCAACTGAATAAAAACGATAGGGCTATTGGGACTATTTTCTTATCGATGTGGTCATTGGCTGTAAATGCATGGATTATTGCACGCGCATGACCTGCAGATGTCCTCAACAGGCTTTTTGTAGCATTCTAAGAATTAAAAAAGGACCCACATTAAATCTAAAAAACATGATAAACATGACGCATATACTAAATAAGTGAATTATCTAATATTTAAATAAAGAAGTAAGTCAATTTGACAATTGAAGGATAAAAATTGA